CATAGTATCCAAGTACCACACCAGTGTTAAGCAGAAGGAAGGTGAGGCTTACCTTTGATTTCCTGATAAAATAATCTGAATTATATGTGGAAGTACAGGACTGAAGTGCAGTTAGGAAGAAAACTGAATTAAACTGACTGATGAAACACACTTAGGATGCAAGAGGTCTGGAACATCTGCCAGAAGGGGAGACTGTTTTATTAGTTGTGCCTAAGTATGGATCTTCTACCCTCTCATCAGAACCCAACTACCTTAATTTCCAGGAATGCAAAACTGAGATATTCATCACTTCTAAATTTCCTGCTGGACAACTGAAGAGTGGTATTGACTGACATTAGTCTTCATGGTCAAAAAGATTATGAAGTGGACCTCCTGAAGGAACCTAGGGGTGTTGCAGCTAAGCATCAGCTCTTGAGATCTTTGAAATTTTGCTGATGCAGTTGTAGCTCCATAGCCACTTTTACCAGGCTACAAGAGTGCAAACTGAGCAAAAAGAGTAGATTATTTCACTGATTTAAAGTGTTGAAAATGCAGTGAACCTGCGAGCATTATTACCAGAGTCACTCCGGGTTAGTCAGGGGAGCATAAAACAGAAGAAGGTTAAAGATGGTAAGCAGCTAGAGGATGGCACATTACCAGAAATGAGATCCCCTCCTGAATACAGTATCATAGAATTGGTTACCTTGAAGAAGGCCCTCAAGATCATCAAGTCCAACTGCAAACCCAGCATTGCCCAGTCCACCACTAAATGGTGTCCTTAAGTGCCACATCTACACACCTCTTAAACACCTCCAGGGATGGCAACTCAGCAGCTTCCATCCACAGTCTGATCCAGTGCTGGATGACATATGTGAGTTGCTTTTCCCAGTGGAGCAGGAGAAACCACACAGTAGAACAGTGACATTTCCAAGCAAAGAGGTGCTTGGCCTAGTGCCACCATATTCTGTTACCTGCCATCGGACTTGCCAGTGAAGCTGGCAGAGGAGTCTGTTCGTCTCTGTCCTCTTGCCTTCCATCAGGTATTGAAGCTGGGAGTCACCATCCTGTTGCTACAATGCAAACCCTGCCCTGGAGCTCATCTGTTTGTCCAGCCTATGTTGCACCATCCATCCTGCCCCAGGGGCAGTGGGAGAAAATAGGTGAACCAGCTCCCTAAGCTGATGCAAGTGGATGATTGTGCAAATGTTAAATAGCCTCCGAGCAGGGATTGTCTATTTAGCTGAAGAGAGAATGGTAGCAATTCATCTTGAGACCCCTGGGGCCAGTGCAGGATTGCTAAGGACGTGGGTGAGTACATCTGAATGGGTGGTTTTAACTGTAGGAACACAGTATCTCAACAAGACGCTCCTGTGGTGTGGAAAACGATTCAGTGAGACGTGTGCTGTCCCCGCCGGGACTGTTACAGATTCAAGCAGTTTGGGATTGCAGTCATCATTAAATTAGGTATAAATGCACCAGAGGTGATGTCTTTGTGCAGTGTGAGGGCCTGCAGCACCCGGTTACCCCCCCGCTTTACTGTTCTCCATCCTGTATTTCACATGCCACCTTCCTCACTATAGTTGTCCTTTGTTCAACAGACAGTAGAGGTTAGTTTCTCCTGATGCAGTGGCTTATAAAAAATGTTTAGTGCACTTTTCATTCAGTCCTGCATGATGGTTTTTTTGTTGTTTGTTTTGGGGAGGGGAAGGGTTGGGGAGGTTTTTTGACTTTTTGCTTTGATCATTTTTTTCCACTTGATTCTTAATAAATTCTTGCACTGTTACTATTGATGTAATTCTTTAATTCTTCTTTTCAGTAAGACCTGAAATCCAGCTTTCACTGCAGCCTGCAAAACTGGGAAGCAGCACACTGCTGGGCAGTTGTATCAGCAACTGGAAATACAAGGAAAGAAGAAGAAATGTTTGTTTCTAGCCCTGGCTCTCCTCTTTATCCCTGCTTTCCCATCTGTGGGGATATAATGGAGTCAGCAGGCAATTAGAAAATTCTCTCATGACTTCTCTCTCCTGGCTCTGGCTTTTCACCTCTTGTTGCTGGGGAAACCGCAGTCCCAAATCCCCTTCCCAGGCTCAGTGGTGCTGCCAGGGCACTGCAGGCAAGCAGAGTCCTAGAGATGCACCATCAGGGAGGCAGGATTAGCTACCAACAGAGCAGAGCTGGACACAGGCAAGGTCAAAAGGGCACAACAGACAGCAGGAGCTGCTGTGGCTGTACAGCCCTTTCCCAGGCTGAAATGATCTGACAAATGCTGACTGTAGTAAAGTATTGATGGTGATGCTCAGTTAAGAGCACAAAGGTTAGAAATCGTTCCAGGTGCTGGCTCAGAGAGGCTGCCAAGAAGGCAAGTTCACAACACTGGCTGTCAGGCACCATCAGGCCGGCTCAGGGCTCTGTGTCTCCATCACTGGAAGGTGGTAAGTGGGTGGGGACTTTACATGGAACTACTATAACTTTTCAAGTTGCTGCCGTCTTCCTAAGCTCATACTGGTTTGCACCCTACTGGACGGACTGCATAGGATTTCCCAGTTACCGGGAAGAGGTTCTCCAGTCCTTCCCCGTGATCGGGGCCTCCCCAGCTGAAGTGCGGTCTGGGTGATGGTAAAGTGTTATAGGGTAACTGGTGATGTATTTCTCTCTCCTAATCACTATAGACACTTTCGTAGCAAAGGTTAGATGCATTGCTAAGTGTATCCTTTCATAAGCCACTGTTTCTTTTGTAATTCTTTACTGGTTTGCACTATAGTAAACTGAAACACTTATTCTTTAAAGTTGGTGTCTGTGTTCCTTCATCCTCATTCCTGGGGAAAAACAGATTGCAAAACAGTGTTTTAAATGGTATCTTGAAGAAGCCCCTACTTTCAGTGTAAAGCAACACCTCTGAGGGACATATCTGTACCTACAGCCACAGCTCTATGGCAAAAGAGCTTAAACAGCCCTTCACTTCAATCACCAACAATACCAATGGCCTTCATGCAAGAAGGGTGGGAACATTAGAGGGTTTCCCTCTGGACCCAGCTAGGAGGATTTCCTAGAAGCTTCTCCAGATTCTCTGCAGGGTCTCCAGTCCCCCATCTGGGCAGTCACAGGGTATCTGAGATAACCTCCCCACCTTGCTCACCTCACTGAGCCTCTCTGCTGCCTGTCATAAAGGCAGAGACAGGAAGGCAGCTTGGCTCAGACTCTAGCAAGAAAATTATTGGGCTCAAATGCCTTGACAACTGGGTTAGCTTCTTCTGTAAAACATTCCCTGTCATTTCAAATTGCCATGGTATGTTGGTAGCCCTTGTCTCAGAGTGATTTGGTGATGCTGCCACTGTTGGATTTTATCCCAACACTGATTTGTATTTGCACAGGGTTATGCCTTGCAATGCATCTTCCTTTGGGTAAGTTTTTGCTTTGTCACCAGGGTAACTGTAGTTTTTCAAGTTAAATTCATATGTGTTTTAACAGTGTTTAGGTAATATTTTGAATCAGGAAAGCGGGTCTCTACAAGGTCAAGTTTTTTTTGTGGGAATGCTTTTTTTTTCTCCAGCAACATGACCAGCAAAGCACTTTGATTTAACTAGCTGAGTGGATAAACTTCCTGCATGAGCTTCTGCTCACTCCTCTTCCCCTTTCTCAGTATTTTCCATGTGTTTTCACTGTTCTAGTTTAGGTCAGACACAAAGATAACTCCAGGGCATTTAGCTGATTTAACATGTCACAGCCACTTGTCCCACTACCCATGCTACATCACAGACTGGTTATCTCACAGATCTTTCTGATGTCCCACAGGTTGTAAGGAACCCATGAAGCTTGGTGCGAGGGCTTTGGTCCCACTCACCAGTGGTGCTCCACAGGAAATCTCTTCCTACTACCCTTAGGTATGACATTTCCCTTCTGTTCCTCTTCACGGAATCAGTTTTCCAGAAGAATGCATACAGTATGCACAGCACTGCATAGTTACTGGTTCAGTAAGTAAGGAGTATGTTTGGTTTGCCTCCCAAGTACATAAATGTTGCTGTTTTGCAGAGGCACAGTGAGGTGCAAGGAAAGCTGGACAGGACTGAACAGTGAGGCTACTGGAAAACCGTAAGCTCAGCTCAGTTATTCTCCATCTCAAGATGTTGTCTAATCTATGCTCTTTTGGAAAAGCTTTCTGCCATCCTTTGAAATCTCAGATTAAAAAAAAGGGGGGCCATGTACTCCTAAACTACACACGTCACACAAACTTCTGAAATGTAATGTATCCCCCTTTTCTAAATGGATTTACAAAATAACCCGCTCTTTACTGCAGCCTGAATTAGGTTTGTTTCACATGCTTTGCTTTTGCAACACCTTTCTGCATCACAGGAACAGGGAACACAAGAGCCTTAAATCATCGGCCAGTGTTGCAGGCCCCTGTCAGCCCAGGGTGCCTGTGACAATGAAGAGCATGTCATTACAGCCAACCACCCTCATGGTAAATGGTGCTCTTAACATGCATTAAGGTAAGTCAATAAAAAGGGGAAATTATTTTGAGCTTTTCAGAGCTTTAACTACTTGTACTCCCTCACAGGGATTTGAGTCTATAAATATTTTTTACACATCTTGTTCTTTTTTTTACAGTCCTTGACAATGCTGTGCAATATGCTTTCCCTTCTCCCTGAGCCAAATAGAATAGCGAAGCAAATAAAGCAGCCTGCCCCATCCTCCCTCTCTGGCAAGAGTTCGTCTTCTGGACTTTGGGATTTAGCATCCTTTGCCAAACAGATGGAGTGGGTGAGGAAAACTACACGTTGAGTGAAGGAGAACTTTGCATTTTTAGCTGTTTACAAAACTGTTGCTTCATGGTCAAGCGAAAGGCTTCCCTTCACATCACCTGAGAAGCCTGACTGCTGTGAGCGTGATGGGTGCCCAGGTGGGAATTTGAGCTGGTTTTGGTAAAACCTGCAGTACTACCAATAACTGTGCACTGCAACCAGCTACCACTTGCACATCGCCTTCTCTGTGCTACAAACGAGAGGACGCATCTGCTTTCTCTGTGTTTATTGTGTTACACTGAAGCAAACCAGCATGTGGTTATTTGCAGTTATTAGCTGATTGTTTCACCACGTCTAAGGAATACGAAGAAAAGCAATTAAATAGTTCAGGACTCAGTTACCACTGAAGGGAGGCCAAGGCTGTGCAACTGGACAGGATGAGTCCCATGCTGGGCTGAGCCCACCATGCCACCCACTCAGCGAGGCAGCAGCTTCTCTCAGCTGGGTGCACTCTTGAGTAGCACAGGAGCCAGTGAGCTCGGTGCTATTGCCCTCGCCAGGGAACACAGCCAGAATAATTTGCTGGGAGTTACACTGTGAAATCCACGCCCTGGAGATGTTCATGCCTGCCCAGAGAGACCCAGTGGTGATCACATTCATTGCTGTAATCCTTGTGCTGAAAACTGCCCTGAGAAACCAAGACTGGAAAACTCTGCTGGCTTATGCAAGAAGGGACTTTCCCTATGTCTTTCCCAGTTGTTGGTCTTTCCCATACACCACTTCCCCTTTGTTTAACGTCAAACACAAAACAACACTCGTGCCTCTTAAACAATGACCTCTACCAAGTTCTTAGAGATGCTTCAGAATGGCCTCCTTGTCATTCATGAGGATGGAGAGGTGGTAGATGAGTTAAAGAGCTGCTGGTGCTGCTGGAAGGAGCAAGTCTTTCTTTTAGGAATAGCAAGCTTAAAGTCATCATCTTAAAATGTAATCTTAAAGGACAGTGGCCAGAGGAACCCACCTGGAGCATTGAAACCGTGAAGCACATCAGGATTTGTTGGTTGACTTTGATGTATCTGTGGGTTTTGTTTAGCTGTAGAAACTCTTTTTGCTAAGGAAATTATTGACATTGATATCTATATTGTATAAGCCTTTTTTCTTGCCTTTTTTTTTTATTATTTTTATGTTTTCATTCTTCCAGCTGGGGCTGGGGGCCCAAAAGCAGCAAATCGGTGCTATCAAGATGTTTGAAGAGCATGGAGGGTGCACATCCTCACCAACCCTCCTCTTTGTAGACATTATTCAGGTGAGTGCAGATTTCATTGGTTACCTTCTCAAAGGAAGCTTTGCAGTCTCCACCAAATTTCTCCTCCATCAGTTGTAAGATAATGTCACAGATAATCTAAACAAGGACAAGGGAAGAAACAACCAGTGTGAACTTTCCTCCACATTAGAGGCATAAGAGAAAAACACGTATCTTTAGTTGGGTTTCTCGGAAGGCAGAAAGGGATACAGGAGCTATTTGCAGCATATTGCATGCAGAGCTTGTAACAGGGCATGCAAAATATGGTGCATTATAGAATTCACAAAAAAATGCGGTCACTGCTGCTGGTTTTTTTAACTGTCCTATGTATCTAGTTATTGTCAACTGCACCTATCACTTAAAGATGGCTTGACAGGACTGATTCACTTGGTCCATCCATTGCAATCTTTCTCCTATCAGTGGACTGTCCCAAATGTTTAGAGGCCATGAGGAGCCCCATGTTGGACACTTATGGAATACATGGCTTGAGGGGCTAAGTTTCTTCCTGATCTTTCCTGCTCATTAACTATCTAGCCCTCTTTAGCAATGAAGGTTCATTTGTCCTTACAGTCACTGGGTAGGTGGTACACTTTGAAATGCCTGTTTTCCTCAGCTCTACTCCTCAAAGGGGAAAACATCCTCCCCTCACAATTACACCCCTTGGGAAGAGGGCTACTGGCTCACCCTAAAGTTTTTGGGGTCAATCTTCAGCTGAGTGGCATGTTTCTTGCCGAGTGGGTTCACTATCCCAAGAAAAGCCTCGGAATTGTCCAGGTGTTGCACCATGTCGTTGATGGCAGTGAAAACCTTCTTGCCATGGCCCCTGACTTGGTCTGACTGTTTCATCTCTTCAGCAGAGTCCATGCCTTTGAAATGTGTGAAGTAGGACTTGGTGTCTGGGTGCTCAGTAAACATCCTGTTGAGAAATGAGAGACATCCTAACTTGTGAACCCAGGCATCAATGCAGACATGGCTAAATGTTCCAGGCCTCATCTTATGCATTTATTGCCCTTTTTCCTTCTCTTTATTAGAACAGACACCTCTGTCCCCTGCATTTCTTGTTTCTGCTTTGCCTTTTGCATCTGTCCACAGCGCCCCACGCCCATGGCAGCCTGTCCCCTCCCTCACCTTTTCTTCAGTGTTAACTCTGTGTTAGGTTACTTCCACAGGGAAGTGGGAGCATGTTCACATGAGGTAAGTGTGACAGCATAATATTCCCAAAGATGTTCTGGACAGCAGATATGACCACTGTGATTCTGATGGGTGTTTTCATGGAGAAAATATGTTATTGGGTTTGTTAATTAACCCCTTCCTAGAGTCCATCCCAAAGCTTTCTTCCTGCCTGTGATGGATTGCTGTTTGACTATAGTTTGAGTACTGCTCATTTCATTTATTCAAAAGTAACACAATTCAATATGTTTAGAATTGCCTTTAATCAATTACAGTCATCTTCATCAAGCTCTTAAAAAAGCAGTTTACTCTATTAGGTAAACCATTTATCCCCCCAAAGTATCAATAGCAAATTCCAGATTGCATTTCACAGAGTCACAGAGTGGTTGGGCTTGAAGGAACATCTGGAGGTCATCTGGTTCAACCCCACTGGTCAAGCCGGTTGCCCAGGACCACGTCCAGATAGCTTTTGAGTATATCCATGGATGGAGACTCTACAACCTCTCTGGGGAACCTGCACCAGTGCTCAGCAGTCCTCACAGTAAAACGTGTTTCCTGACATTCAGAGAGAACCTCCTGTGTTTCAGTGTGTGCCCATTGACTCTGGTCCTGTTTCTTGGCACTACTGAGAAGAGGCAGGTTCTGCCTTCCTTTTACTCTTCCTTCAGATTTTTATATACACATCGATAATCTCCCCCTGAGCCTTCTCTTCTCCAGGCTGAACAGTCACAACTCTCACAGCCTTTCCTCATAGGAGAGATACTGCAATGCCCTAATCTTCTTCCTGGCCCTTCACTTGACTCTTTCCGGTGTGGCCATGTCTCTCTTGTACTGGGGAGCCTTGAACTTCTCTATAGACAGAAGCAAAATCTTCTAGAGTAAATAACCCCAGGGAGCCAAGCTACTGGATGCTATTAGCCTTTTATGGCTGCATTCCTGACCCTAACTGGCCTTCAGGTTGTGTAGACTGCAGAAGGAAAGAGCGGTGTGTAACACTTTTTGAGGGTAATACAGGCATAAGATGTGATATGCAAGAAAGCCAGAGGGAGGGGTAGAGGTCTGATAACCAGAAATAGTGTTTAGAGTGATCAATGCTTATGGAGGTGATACAAGTCCCAGATGAGTGAGGGGTATGTGAAAGGTGAACAGAAGAGAAGAGAGGAAAACAGGATGAAAACAGAGGGGGAAGCCCATAGGAAGGTGTGGGGTGATGAATAGATTTAAACCTAGAGGGTATTCGGAATTTTAAGATAAAAAGCAGCTGCAGCTCCCTGGATGGACTGAGGTCGACATGCTCCCCAGTGCAGCTCCTCAGTACGCTGCTCAGAGAAACAAAATGGAGTGTGGAACGAAGTGGAGGCTATGTGGTCCCCCTCCTTTCTAATCCCAGCAGTATGGAAGAACATTGTGGTACTGAGACCGTACAGTACCTGTCTGATAAGGGAGAATCAAGATGTTCTGCTGCTGAAGCCAAGAACCATGTTGAACCCCCTCCTCAGGTGCCAAACCATGACCACCGCCCCCCTCCCATTAAATACACCAATCAGAAATAAAAGGTATTTATGACTAGAGCCACTCAAACTCCACCCAAGCATAAAGAAGATAGTACAAAAGTAAGTTGAGGATAGGGAGAAAGTGGGAGAAAACCTGCACTGAAACTGCTGGGATCAGTCAACAGGCTGAGTCCATATTCTCCCGCCCCAGAGGGATGCCTTGGGTGAGAAATATACTCCGTGTGCGTTAAATGCTGCTCTTAGGACTAGAGCTTTTGCTTATGCTTACCCCATAGCATATTAGATTGCTTCGTATGAGAGCTTGTGCTTGCTTAATGTATGTATCAGTAGATTGCTTTAAAACATTTTTGCAGTAGACAGTATCACCGACAACCTTCGAACCTTATTAATCTGTCACAAATTGTATTATTAAAAAGTGTTATTTGTAAACTGTTAAAGTGAGTCCTTGCAGTCACCAGCAGCAGATAACACCTTGGCAGGACCTGCTGAGGGGTCTTGGCTCTGGTGAGTTCCCCCTAACAAGGGAGGTCGAGGTACCCTCCAATCTTGTGAATCTGGTGGTGAAGGGTCTCTTTACAAGATGCTGACTGACCGTCGGGCACCAGAGTCTCGACTCTCCTGGGGATACCAACAGACAAAAATCTAAACTCCCATTTTTAATGTGACAGAAGGGGGCAATAAAATGGAACAGATAGACTGGAAAGGCCAAAGGAGAATCAGAAGTGAAGTACTGAGAAGTTAACAAAAATCATTAAAGGAGTTTAGAGGTAAAGAGAAGAGGGAAATAAGGCCCATGTTTTGTTCCCATTCTCTTTCATACCACACTTTCTTTTCTTTACCTTAAATGGGTAAAGAAATTGTTCTTATCTCTTCTTTTCCCACCCCTTCCTCATTTCCTTTTATTTTTCCTTGTGTGGATTGCTCTTCTTCCTTTTTTCCTCCCTGAGATGGGATAAATCACAGCAGATCAAAGTATTACCAGCAAGGGCTGCATGAAAAACATCAAGACGTGCTCCTAGGCCTTAACTCCATCCTTCTTGCTGTTCCTCCTTCAACCCCCTGGCATAGCAATTGGATGGGCTCTTTCCTTACCTGACCAGCACAGCTGTCCCATTGTCCTCAGCATCCACATACATCTTCTCCCAGGCACCGCGGGCACTTTGTACTTCTGCTTCAGAGAATGACATGGTGGAGGAGATGCTGGCAACGAAGGGTGCAGCAGGAGGAAGAAGGACAGGGAGGTCCTGGCAGGGTCTTTCTGCTCCAGTTCTCTCCTCAGGGCTCTCTAAATACTGTCCTGGGGATTTAAGATATCTTGAAGGGACTCTTTGTCTCCGTTCCCCTCGGTCACATTTCTACAGGCTTTAGGGCTACCTAATCACTTTTAATCAGGAAAGAAACTAACCACATGAGGAGGGGGGACAAGCCCTCTCACTGTGGGTCAGGTGCCACAGCAAAGGTCTCACTGTCTGAGAAGAAAAAGGGAAAAAAGGGCAGTTTTCACAGGCGAAGAAAAAAATCAATTCTCCTCCCCTCTCACCCTTGCCAAAGCCAGTGCTTGGCTCCCGTTTCCTGAGGGATAGCCTTGCCCAAGCACTAATTTTCCTGGTTTTCTCCCAAGAGCGCTGCTGTGCTGTGGGCACTGTGGTGCCCTAATGTCACCTCTTCTCAGCAGCCTTTAGTCCTTCAATCCAAAGATCCCAATTCGAGCTCCAGCAACTATCTCCAGTCCTGCTTTCATGCGGTGGTCACTGCTTTCCCCATAGCCCTCTGGTGTAGCAGGGGCTCTTGGCTTTGGTCTCATGTGGGTGGGAGGCTTTGCCAGCTCAAAATGCCAGCATTGCAAGGACAGTGATGGCAGCATGGCACAGCATCCACGCCCACAGTGCCCTAGAAAGCCGCCTCACTGTAACCCAGGAGATAAATGGTTCAGCACAGCCAAGCCAGAACACAGGCATTTCACTGCCCTAATCCTCTTGGCTTGCAGCTGGGATCTCTGTCCCATCTCTAAGGCCTGCCTGCCTCAGAGAGAGATAAGAGGCAGGAGAAGGGCCAGTGTGGAGCTGCAAATGGTATCTATGAGCCTGTTATCATCATGGTCACTTGGTCTGGAGGCAAAAAAATTTCTTGGATTATCCATGCCTAGGCTTAACCTATGGCAGGAATGTTCTGGTTAAGTCCAGGGCACGCACACAAAATAAGGGCTAAGGGGCTTGAGAAGCTGCTACTGGGTGCCGAGAGCAGACAAAACCTCACATTGTTTGGGTTGAGTTAGAGGAGGGAAGAAGCAGATGTGAGAGGGAAATATGCAGCATGGCAAGCAAAACCAGCCTGATACCCCAGGGCAGAAGGAAAGTGCTGGCTCCAAACTCACAGGGATTAATTGGACTTGCTAGGGTTGTATCCCACCGTTGCTGAGGGATGCCTCAAATGACTTCACGGAAGCTTGCCCCTGCACCTTCCCTCCCTCTCCCTTTTCATCACAGCAAACAAAGAGTAGTCATAAAAAACTGCACAGCCATCTCCTTTCTCATCCCCAAATCCTCAGAAAAATTCCCAAGACCTCAGGAGATCCCAAGGTGGGGGGGATATATTTACTGTGCTGCTGGGATCTCTGCCTCTTTGAAGGCAGACATAACCAGTGTAGCACTGGTTGCCCAAGCCCAGTCACCAGCACACAAACGCAGGGGAAGGAGCAAGGACAGCACCACAATAGTTGGCAATTCTCAGGTCTTGGGAGCCAAAACTGCTTGGCAGAAGCTCAGTGGGGAAAGCACCAAGTTTTTGGCTGAGAGCAGAAAGTGCATCAGGTGCTTTTCATAGGTGGCCTGAGAGAGAGTGAACTCCTGAAGAAAGAGCAGCACCAACTGTAGCCAAAGGTAAAAGGGCTCAAGCAGGTCTGAAACATGAAGGTAGAGCTCTTTTCCCTTTGGAATGTTCATATGTACAACTACTTGCTTGCAAATTTTCTTCCTCTCTGTAGTTGTCATGTTCTCCTCGCAGATCTGGTGCACCCTGATTTGCTATGAACATCTCAGTAGGAGAAGTTGGAGCATGGCTGTGAGCCCAGCCCTCTGGCCTGAGCTGTGGTAGCAATGCACATTGCTCAAGGATGAGTCTTCCCTCTTAGCTTTCTTAGTCTTTCCCTCTTCACCTCCCTTGTTCACCCTTCATTTCCCTCCTCCCTGGTTTTGTTTGTGAAAGTTCACAAACTGAGGTGACCTTATAGAATCTTCCAGTACCTGAAGTGGCTACAAGAGAGCTGGAGCTGGACTGTTTCACTGGAGATGGCATATAGTGATAAGACAAATGGTAATGGCTTTAAACTGAAAAAGGTGGGTTAAGATTAGATATTTCTTCTGATGTAAATAGCTTCCCCCTTGATTTGAGCATAAATCCTGTGTGGAGGCTTTCAGGGGAGGTTGTTAAGCTACCCTGGAGTTTTTCCTGGATGCTCTGTGCTTTCCCACTCCCCAGCTTTCTTTCTGGAATTCAGACTATTCAATAGGGGTGAGTCCTCTGTTGTGCCAGTGTCCAAGTACAAATAAAATATTTCACAATAGAAATCTGTTTCAGAGCATTTCCTGGAAGGGCTGTCACAAAAGACCTTCAAGAGAAAGAGGAAAATGAGAAGCTGAAAGGGCAGATCAAAAAGCTAGAGGCGAGGTAAGGTATTTATTCATATTTTGAAAGTACTGTGTGTTTCTACACTGAAAACCCACATACTTCGTGCTTCCTACAGTCCTTAGGGATTCTGTTTCTGACCAGACAGCCCAGACACCTTCTCCTCAGACTTTCAGCCTGCCAGCATCTCTTTGTAACTGACTTCTGGAAGATGGAAGGAAGGAGACATCCCCAGGTTGAACATATTAATTAAAGAAACCAGTCTACAATGACATAGTCAAGATGGCATCCTGATCAGATTCCACTGTGATCATGCAAAACTCAGCTGAGGAAGCACTATCTCCCACATGAAAGCTGTTGCCAGCTACAAAATGTAGTTGAGAAGCACATTGTAGAGAACATGGGATTCATGAAATAGATTCATAACATAAAATAGTTACACCTATTCATTGTTTCATCCTGTCTTAGCTAAGTGTTTTTAATATCCTTTTTGCTCTAGAAATGCAGGGCTCTTGTCTAAAGCAATGGCCATGCACAAGCACTCTGAGGACATGAATGACCCTTCACAATTGTCTGCTGTGCTGCAGAGGTACAAGATGTTCCGGCTACGTGAGTGGGAAAAAATCAGGATCTCCACATCCCACCGCTGGACGTACGAACAAGGCAGTCACATAATTAAGGTTTGTTCTTGTCCATTTTTTCAATCTGATTCTAATCAAATCAATATGGTGTGGCCAGTATAGCAGCCTTTGAGTATTAGTATTTCTGTACCAGACAGGGCTGGGGCCCTAGTTTGGATCTCTGATTTTACAGCCCAGCAAGGCCTGTGGAATGCTGTAGAGAGCAAATTGACAGTGATCTGCTTCCTCCTGCTTTTCAGAAGGGCACATTCAAACCACACCCATGTTAAGCCCAAGTGGGAAAACAGTCCAGTTTTCTTATGGTTAATGCTTGAACTACTAGCTGAAAGACTTCACTTTGATGTCTGACTCACTGCTCTGATGCTGGGAGGAATCTGATGGAAAATACCAAAATGATACACCTTAAAGGACAAGACTGAGATTAGGCCATCATTAGCATTGATGGTGATGATAAGGCCTCACAGATGCTGAAGAATGGGCTTCAGTACGCAAGTAGCTCAATGAAATAGTTTGTTTTACAGGTATTGAAGACACATTTCAATCAATTAGTGGCCCTACAGTTTACTCTAACACAGATGCATTTTCAGCACGTGCTTTCCACACTACGCCTCTTGTTTCACTGTGATTGCCGCTGTAATCAGCTGTTGGTTTTGCACTGCAGAGGCTGTTTGATGCTTGTGAGGAAGATTTACAGCAGAGAACAGCTGACATATTTAAAGTTCTTGGCATTCCACCTTCAAATGACACTATGACCAACAGCAAACAGGTATTTCATGTTTCTGTGTAACTGGACCTAGGCAGTGGGGTAGAAGGGCCATCTGCATCTGCCCTTCATTTAGAACCTTTGCTTCTGCTAAAGACACTGCTCAAAATCTATTGACAATGGCACTGGGGATAACTTAGGACTTGAGAGGGATGGGCATGTAGAAAGCTACGCTCCAGCAACCCTAAGTATGAGAGCAGCACTGAATAAAACAGGTCTTTCTCTCTAAGAGGTGAGTTATTCCTGTTAGAAGCAGGGAGTTGGACTTGATGATCCTCTTGGGACCATTCCAACTTGAGATATTATATGATTCTGTGTCCCACGATACACAGCTGGCTGAGGCACTGAGTGCCCTATGTTGCTTGTATGGGACCTTCCTCCAAAGCTTGAAATGAGTGACTTCTCCACTGCTGACTGACACAACCTGAGAAACAAAAATTCCCAGTTTTTGCCATAATGCATGAAAACAGGCTGCTTTGTGCTGTGCTTGTTTTGTAGGGGATCATGCGAGAAATAAGGAATCTCTTTGGGCAATCATGTTACCAAAACCACTCAGAGATTTACAGTGAAATTGTTAAGGTGAGTAAAGATACAGCCCAGGAACAGAGGCAGTGGTTCAATTTTCTGGGCAGCTTGTTATTTAAAAAATAGGGAGGTCTCCCTTCTGCTTGAGGTTGTTTTCCACTTATGGCGAGGCCCTTCCAGCCCATATACTCCCAAAATATTCTCATAGGCATGGATAAATGTACATGTAACCTTGTAAGGAAGGCACAGCAGGACAGGCAGGGCAGTGCCCTTACCAACAAAGGCACAGTCCTACTGGACCCCAGCAAGGTGCAAAGAGCAGGGCTGGTGGTGGTGATCAGGGTTACAGACCAGTGATCACCAGTGACCAGGCAGGTCAAGACTGAACTGTGGAATTGGTCTGTGGGTCAGGCAGGGTCAGCAAGGCTGGGCACAGACATCCCAACATCACAGCTCAGGCAAGCATCTGGCCACCACTGAGCTCTTGGGCCAAGTGGTGATAGGTCTGTGGGTGAAGATGAGGCTTCTCATAACTCCTTCTCACACCACCCTTTCTGCCATTTTGCCTGTTTGTGCTGGAGTTGAATCCAAGATTATATGGCCATGCTATAGCAGAGCTGACCCTGAACACAAGCAGCCAAAGCCCTGGGGAGGCAGGAGAAACCTTGCAGCCACTGCTGATGTGCACAAAGCCCTGATACTTACTATCCAAATGGACTATTGTCTTAGCAGGGGTTATTTTATGGAAGATACATGGCATATATATCACATATATATGAAACTTCCAAAGACGAGCTTCGTCCTTTTGCAGCTTGCTGGGCCTTTCAAAAAGCTTGGCCTTATCAAGTTCCTTGCAGATCCTTCCATGAGGAAATAGAGACAGTTACAGAATGCTGGAATAATCCAGAAGCCAGGATGTAGTAAATAAAAGAACCTTTAAAGT